CGGGCAGCGGGGCGCTCGGCCGCCGCGTCTGGGCTGAGCGCCGCGACGCTGCCGCCCCGAAGCCCTCCCGGATCTTGAGGCGGTAGGTGGCCGGGACCCGGGTGAGGAGGCCGAGGAGGGGGGGCGTCCCCGAGGTGGGGACGTTGAGGCAGGGGAGGGGGAAGGAGAGTGCTGAGGGAGGAGCGGGGCTCGGGGAGGGTGGCGGGCCTTTCCCGAGGGGCCTTCCCCCGGGGCCCTCCCCAGGTCGTCGGGGGGATGCCGAGTGGGGTGGGCGCCAGCGAGGGCGCGGGACAGCCCGAGGAGGACATGGTGACGAAGTACCGCCGAAAAAGAGAGACCCCCCCCCCCCCCAACTAACAGAAAAGAGTGAAAACCTTGCTGGGTGAGAGGGCGCGGATAGCAGAGTGCTGGGAACACTCTGGAAAGGAGGAGAAAATGGGAGAGGTGAAGAGAGAGGGGAGGGTGGCGGACGGGTGATTCGATGAAGGTCGGGGTGTGCCTACACGGATGGGTCAAAACAGCAGCCCTCCTTGATCAATTAGTTGATGCTAATGAAAGTATAAATGTCAATCTTACTCTATCTCTTTCCCTCTCTGTCTACATCTGTCTGTCTGTCTGTCTGTCTTGGTGCTTGTCCACAACACCATCTTTGTCCCAGGCACCGGTTACAGGCATTGGGTTGGTTTCAGGGTTTTTAATCCCCTGTGGCAAAAAAGCTATGGAAAAGGTCCAGTAGTCCATGTGAGGGTAGTCAGACACCTGTGGCCTGGACAGTTTTCTGCTAACTAAAGGTTCAGTTGTATTTCTACTGAAAGATCGTTCACACACACGAAAACTTGTTTTGGTTGTAGAGAAAAGGTGTACAATACAGTATGATGGAATTTACAGATTTTGATTATTTTTTGGGGGGTTTGATGTTTTTCCACGCCTTCCCCCCCTGAAATAGTGCCACTAGATTTGTGGAATGTTAATAAAATGACTTTCACCAACCTAGTCATAATTGCTTATCTCTTGGTCTCCTATCATTTTACCATTGTTATCATTTGGTTTTAAGGCATACTAATTTTGTGAAAGTAATGTTTTGAAGATGCAAATTGAGATTAGATGTTATCTAGTTACTGTTCAGGAAATATACACAAATTCTTAATTGCAGTAAAACTGTCAGCATTTTCCAAAGCAGTCTAGAATTTGTTTGGGGGTCAGGGGAATTGCTGGAATGGACCCCAGGTCCTGCTGCATATTAGGTAAGTGCTCTTCCATTGAGCTAACACCCCTAACCATAAGAAATCTAGAATTTAAATTGGCATTATTAAGATACAGCTTCCAAAAAAAGTACATATTACTACTTACGTATGCTATGACCTGTGATTACTATGGTACTATCCTTGTAGAATGAGGAAAACATAAAACTATATTTAATATTCTAAGAAAAACTAAATTGGAGGAATGGAAAATATTTGCGTGTAAAATTTTATCCTGCTGGATGCTGGTGGTTTATGCTGGTAATCCTAGCTACTGAAGAGGAGATCTGAGGATCAAGGTTTGAAGTCAGCCTGGGCAAACAACAACTTGTGAGTCTTATAGCTCCAATTAACTAGCAAAAAGCTGGAAGTGGAGGTATGATTCAGCTTTGAGCAAAATAAGTCAAGTCACTGTGAAGACCCGAGTTCAAGTCCCGATACTGTCTCTCTCTCACACACACACACAATTACTGTGTTAAGATTTATATATAAGTGCACATTCTCATAGTTAAATTTTTCTAACACTACATAACATGCTTGCACAGAATAGTGAGTGATTAAATATCTTACCAGGCAATTTTATACATAGGGAACATACTTTGTAGTTAAATCCTTACTAGGCACTTATTAGCTGTGTGAATTGCAGTAGTAGATGTATACTTTTGCCTGTTCATCATCTGTAAAGTAGTAATAATTTTTCTAGCAGTTTATCAATCAAAGTTAAATAAGATTTAACATTCAATAGGATGGGATTTAGCATACATTAAGAACTAAAAATGGCATTTTAATTTAAAAATATATGCCTAGCATTAAGATTGTCTAAATTGGTTAGACAATTGGTTAGTAATTGGTTAGACAATTGTCTAAATTGGTTAGTACCCCAGTGTACTGTATTTTAGAAATCTAGCTTAATTTGTAGTTTGAGAACTGATGAGATCAGTTTTTAAAACAGAATATGAACCTGAGATAGTTGTTATTGTCATATGTGTAATAGCAATAGCAAACTTGTTTCTTTGCTGATACCTAAGCAATATTCTGTTCATAAATAGCTTGTCCTTTTAAAATGATTTGTTACTTACATGTGAACTTGAATGAAAACCACCTACACTTTATCTCAGAATGAATATTTTAAAGGCATCAGTTCGGAATGTCCTTTAAAACCATTGGTGTCACAAAACTAGATGTTTTCATTTTAAAATACACCTTTGTGTTAGGCTCATCACTTGCTGGTATGACAGGTGAGATTCTGATTCTTTTGCAAGTGTTATCTAACAGTTGCTAATACAAATGCCTACTGAGTAGTAGCAGCAGCATCACAGGAATCATTTTTGAACTGCACCAAGTAGGCATCAAAAATTGAAGTTATTTGTCTTTGATTTTAATTCCATAGATGAGTTTGAGAATAGTAATTATGTCTTGTAAATACTTAACCTTTTCCATTAATAAAATGATGATAGTATTTATGTAGTATGCATTCTAATCTCCAACTCACATTTCCTATAAAGTCAGTGTTTCTATACAGGCATAGTTTACTTAAAAAAGAGTATTCTATGGCACCTTTTTTTCCCTAATTTTCATGATTGATGTGAATTTATATGGGGGGAGTCCTGGCTGTTTCTTTCCTGCTGCCACCTGAAAGGTAGGTGACAATGAAAGAGCTTTAAGTTTTTGTTTACTTGTTTTGCAAATTCATGTAATAGGGTTCTATGACTACCCAGCTCTTGAAAATCCCTTGTTTGAATACTATGGATTTGCCTTGCTCAGCAACTGGAAAAGACTTTACAACCTACAACTCAATTTCAGCTGAGCAATGAAAAATAAAGAATGGCTGCCAAGGTCATCTTTTGTATTGTGATTGACCAGTTTCATATGAGAAACAGGATGGAAAGTTACTGCATGCTAGTATTTTGGTCTTCATTATGGTGGTTATGATAAACATAAAATAACATTAGAATGAATGTGTACTAATATTAGTGCTTTAGGGTCTGTATTTTAAATATTTCTTTCCATATAGGAAATACTCAATATTTGAGGTTTTAGGTTCATAACCTTTTTAATTTTGCTTTCTGTTACATCAAAATTGTATTGCCAACAAGTACTGATTGATAGCATTGGTATGTTTATAGAAGGTTCTCAATAGCTATTTTGTATATCTCCTCATTATATATATATATCACAAAGTAGGTAGATACTGATTTGAAGCACTGACTGGCATATTCCCAAATTTCAGGGAAAAAAATTACATTTTGTGCTTAGCTATTATTGTTAACTTTGAGGGGCTACTTATATGTTAGGATTTTTTTTAGGCTACTTAAGATGTTAGCATATAATTTTTCAACATGTTTAAATTTTAGAACATTTGAAATATATATGCACATATATATTTCATATATATATATTTCATACATATGTATACACATATACATACATTTTCCTACTTATTGGAATACAAATGTAGTTACTAATCCTATCACATAATCAAGGGAAATAGTAACTTGGATTTTGTATTTGTTTAAGATTAACATAGTAACAATTATTTTTTGTATGAACACATTCAATGCCAAGTTAAATTTATAGATGTTATTTAGGAAAACAGGTACTAGGATGCAAAGATCAATAAGGTTTAGTTTTGGGAGCCTCAGTTAATTCATAGTATATTTGGATAGGCCTATAATAAACTTTATGATATATTTTAGGAAACCTGATAAAGTACAGTAGGAGGAAAATAAGGAAAGAGGAATTGTTACTGGAGGATTTAATGTAAATATTTTTATTTAATGTTACCAGTGAAGATATGAAAATGAATACTTGTAAGAAAGCTAAGAGGTCAAGAAAGCTCTAGACAGGGAACCTGCATATTCAAATATATGGTGAAACAAAATACCATGAATGCAACAATTTATTGGACATTCACTGTATACTAGACACTGGTACATACCAGAGACATACTTGGATGATATATAACTATAATTTGTACAATAGAGGCCAATTTGGAATAGGCTACAGGTTTTCTGTGCACATATGAAAAATTACTTAATCATTTTGGTCTGAATGTAGAAAGTTGTCCACCAGCCTGGGTATAAGAATATTCCTCACTTCTTACTCTCTTATCTTTAGGTTACTTTATTTCTTTAAGTACTATCTATAAAATGAGAATAATGCTAGTAGCTGACATGTACTAACCTCTTAGTATGTACCAATAATTTTGGTAAATACTTTATATACATTTACTTCAGGCCTAGAAGGTGGAGACTAGTGGTATCCATAGTTATATATAGCTAGGTGCTAGAGCCATGATGTGAATCCAGGTAAGATTACATGTAACTTTCTTTTTGAGGCAGGGTCTCTCTATGTAGTCTTGAATGTCCTCAAACTTGAAATCTTCCTGCCTGTTTTCCAAGTGTTGAGATGACAGCCATGTACCACCACTCCTGGCCTACTGACATGAAACATGAGCTGTAACTATTGATCATGCCTTATTTATAAAGTTGTTCTAAATGGCCATATATGCTGGTAGTTTACTATTTATGCCATGGATATTAACGTCTGTTTCCAATATTAGTAGTCTAGAAGATGTCAGGTACCTGGAGCTCTTTTTAGAGCAAAATTACATGTAAAGGAGCCAGGCAAGGTGGTGTGCACCTATAATTCCTGCTACTCAGGACGTAGAAGCAGGGAGAGTGAGTTCAAGGCTAACCCTGGCAAAGTTAACAAGGTCCTATCTTAAAAACAAAATAAAACAAGAAGGATTAGAGTGTAGCTCAAGTGGGAGATCACTTGCCTATCAAAATGGGCCACTTCTCAGAGTCCTAGTTCCTAAAAAAAGGTGTTAAATATTGTAGTTTGAAAAGATGCTATATTCATTTGTTCAGGGAATGCTATTTAATACCTATTTTGGATTCAGTTCAGGTACTGTGTTAATTGCAGGTGGCACTAGGTAAATACTTTTCCTCACTTTAAGTAGAACCTGTTCCTCATTTTTGTTAAACCTGGACGACAAAATGACTATAGTATGGCATAATGTTCTTTACGTCACTATGGGAACATGTTTTTGGTGTTCCAAGATCATGGAGCACCTATATCTATTTCACAGGTAATTAAATAAATGAATGAAGAACTGTGGAATTAAGAGAGCAGTGGTGGGAACGAGGGAAATGCTTGTGCAATATCTTTTGGAACTACAATGGGCAGGAATTAGGGATTAATTATGGGATGTATACTGTAAAGCATCAGGTTGCAAATGTGCTAAAAGGTGGTCTCAGGCAGTTAGGTGATAAAGTTAAGGAATCCAGGAGGAGGTATAGTTTTAGTATCAAACAATTTGATTTTGCATATATTTAATTGAAGTGCCTATGATAATATAAGTTGAAATTCAAAATGGTATTCTAAAAATACACATTAGGTTGTATTTATCATGTTCACTAGGTAGTTGCAACCATGAAAATAGAGATTAGCTAAAGCTAAAGACTCAAGTGCCACAAGCTAAAACCACAGCTACATGAGTGGTATTCACACATTTAATTGGAGAGCAGAAGAACCAGTTATTATGGAAGTTAGAAATGGCAATCAAAGAAATAGGAGATAAATCAGGAGATTAGAATAACAAAAGTAAAAGGAAGAAAATAAACATAGATACAATATGTATACTATCTATATATTATATATATGTATAATATTTATATATTATACATATAATATGTATATATGTATGTATAACATATACACATAATATATACATATAATATATAGATATTAGACATATTATATAATATTTATATGTTATACATATATATCTATATATAATACCTACACATATGTATATATTCATTTGAGGACAGAGCTTCTCTGCATAGCTAAGACTAGTCTGAAATTCACTAGCCCACACTGGCCTCAAACTCATGATCTTCCTTCATCAATCTCTTAAGCATTGGGATTATAGGTATGGTCCACTATGTTCAGCTCAAAGAAGGAAAATAGTCTAAAAATTAAGACAAATGTTAGGAAGAGCTCTGAAGTTATTATATATTATTTTAAATCCTCTGTATGTCTGTTTCTTAAAAATATTTATCTTCAAGTGAGTAGTTTTTTTGTGTAAAGGTAAAATGTCTTCGTTATTTTGTCCAAATAATAAACATGTGTTTTTCCCTATTAAAGTATGGAACCTCAAGGTCTTTATGACAATGGAAACCAAAAAATTGATTGGTAAACCGCTTCAACCAGCAAGACCTGTTCGTCATCTGACTTCTCCCCCTGGTGAGTAATATAGTGTACAGTACTTTAAATATTAATTTATTAATGACTAATTAGTATTTGAAACTCTAAATGACTAAGGTAGACTTCAAAAGAAATAATAAAAATTACAGTAATAGTCTTATCTGCTTGAAGTTTTGAAGTATTCCCTAGAGAAAAAGGTTGTTAATGTTTTAAGATTATTAGTCTTAGAAGGGTTGATAATGATCAAGATGTATTATTCGTAAACACATTGAGTTGAAATTTTTTTGTTTAACTCCTTAAAGATAATAACAGTGAAGATGATTAGTCTAAAGTATGCCAGACCAACAATGGTTAAGAAAAACTGTGTGAATTTCTTTTCATGTCTCATTTGTGTAGTTAACTCACTTCTGCTGTGTATTGTGCTCCAAATAAGCTGTGGTCACTGCACAATCATGATAAATTAGCCTTTTAAAAGATCTACTGGACTGGGAAGGTGGCTTAGTGGTAGAGTGCTTGCCTTGCATGCGTGAGGCCCTGGGTTCAATTCCTCAGCACCACAAAAGCAGAAAAAGCCAGAAGTGGCGCTGTGGCTCAAGTAGTAGAGCTGTAGCTTTGAGCTAAAGAACTGAGCTGAGGGACAACGCCAAGGCCCAGAATTCAGGACCCATGACTGACCAAAAATAAATAAATAAATGAATGAATAAAGAAAGAAAGATCTACCTATATGCAAACCAAAAACAAGACCAACAATCTTCCCACAAAACAGCATGTTCAGAGTCCTCACAAGTGACGATGTATTTGTACTCTAATAGAGATTAGAGCTATACTTTACCTGGATCATATCTAATTTCACAAAACCTAAACAAAAATATAAACCTGGTTTTTTCTTTTTGCCTACAAGGCTATTTTGGACAGACTCTTGATACTTATTTTCTAATTTGGAATATTAACTTTTAAAATTGATTTTAAATTGTTTATTATTTGTTGCTAGAATTGCTTGTTAGATAATGTACAGATCACTTCAATTTGAAAAAAAATTATATTTTTCCAGTTCTTGGGCTTAAAGTCAGCATTTGGGCTCTGTGCTCAAGGCTAGTGCTGTACTACTTGAACCACAGTACTACTTCCAACTTTTTCTGAGTAGGCTTTTGGACATGAGTGTCTCATGGACTTTTCTTCCAGGGCTGGCTTCAAACTGTGATCCTCATAGAATTCCATTGTGTATATATACCACATTTTCTTGATCCATTCATCTACTGAGGGGCATCTGGATTGGTTCCATATCTTAGCTATGGTAAATAATGCTGCAATAAACATTGTTGTGCTGGTAGCTTTAGTGTGGTCTTGTTTGTAAACATTTGGGTAAATGCCCAAAAGTGGGATTGCTGGGTCATAGGGTTGTTCTATGTGAAGTCTTTTGAAGAACCTCCATACTGCTTTCCAAAGT